CCACCCACCCATCCACCCACCCATCATCCCTCCATCTGCTCATCTACAGGTGTGGCACATGGCCACACTGGGTGCTGAGACACAAGATTTCTCTTAAACTCAGTGGTAATCTTCACATAGCTGCAGGACTCCAGGAGAGCCGGGGAGTGTGTGCTGCGGCCCAGGCTGGGGTTGCCATGCCAACAGCTTGGCCAACATCGTCCAGAGTGGAAGGAGGTGCACGTGGTCCAGGCAGAGGGCACAGCCTGTGTGAAGGCCCTGGCCAGGCGGTGTCCCCAGCGGTGGAGGCCATGAGCTGCGGCTGAGGGGCGGGAGGCAGGTGGGAGGGATCCGGCGCACCAGCCCAGTTCTACGGGAACCTTGGCAGGTGCTGGTGAGCCTCAGGGGGCCACAGGTGTTTGGGGGAAGATGGCCGAGTCCCAGCCCTCTGCCCACTGGGCGTCACGAGGGCTGCTGCCAGGGCCCCCCGACTTGTGTGTGGACAGGGCCCCAAATCCCTCCAGCGCGGCCCAGCGGGACACCGGGGCTACCCAATGGGCCCACGGCCCTGAAAGCGGAGCTGTTCTCGTCACGGTGGCGTCCGTGGCCACTGCACCGTCCTGCCCAGGCATTTCCCAGCACAATCTCACCCCTTCTCAAGCCACACCCGCATCCCAGATGGAAGGGACGGGCAGTCAGTCCTGTGCCCAGCTCCCTTCGGGGAGCCCGGATGTGCAGCTGGCCAGGGGCTGATGCCACCCCTTCTCCAATCGCCACCCACCGGAGGGCACCAGACCAGGTCATACACAGACCTTATTGTTGAAGCCCCCAGGCTTAGCTGGGCCTGGAGAGCCAGGGCCCGCCCGCCTGCTCGAGATGAGGTGTCCTGGACAGAGCCCACAGGCACCGTGGGGCAGAGGCGGCCGGGCTGCGGCATGTCCGAGCGCCCTCCTGAGTGACCTCCCAGGGTAGCAGCGTCCATCGCCACAGGAGTCCTTACTCGTTTACTTTTGTATCTGTTTATTTGGTGTGTGCGTGTGTCTGTGCATGTGTGCACGCGTGTCTGTGCACATGGCCTGCACTCGCCAAGGTGCCCATGTGGAGGTGGACAGTTTGCAGGATCAGTTCCCTCCTTCCTCCATCAGAGCGCGGGGACTGAACTCAGGTCTGCAAGCACCGCTGAGTCCTCCCGCTGGCCGGCCGGGCCCTCCGGACGCTCGCTCACTACAGCTTCTTGTTCCTGCTCAGTCGGTTGTGGCGCCAGATGTTCAGTTTGCGCAGCAGGCGCCAGTACTCGCGGGACTCGGGTTCCAGCTCCTCCAGCTTTTTGGGGGGGCCCAAGTTCACCTGGAACAGCCTGGGGGAGGGTCAGAACTGCATGCCGCCTCACAGCTCTGGGGTGTGGGGGGGTCGAGCTGGGGCTTTGAACCCGCCCTAGTCCTGGGTCTCAATGACAGAGAACAAAACTGAGGGACCAGGCTGTCCCACCCCACTGCCCATCCCCTCCGTCCCCACCCCAAGTCCAGAACAGGCTCTGTCCGGCTCCCGGCTCTTTGCACAGGCCACACCTTCTACCCGTCCTGACTCCCGACGCTAGCCCAGCCTGCACCCCGCTGTCCCTGCCTCTCCCAGTGCCCAGGAGTGCGGCCCCACCACACCCGCCTGCTCAGCTAACTGGTTCCCAGCTCCCTCCAGGAGGGAGACACTTCTGCTCTTGGGCGACCTTCTGGGACCAGGGACCAGCCATAAACCTATGTCACCACCCCTGCCCCCTCGGCCCTCAGGGACACGTGGTCCTGTGCACCGGCCGGAGCACAGGGGCCTGGCGTGCAGAAGCTCCCCGGACCAGGGCGGGCGAGGCCAGCAGGCCCTGCGGTGGCCCAGGAGCGGTCCTTGGGTGGAGATGAGGTGCAGCCACACTCACCACTCGGGGTACTCGGAGTCCGGCTTCAGGACCACGTCCTGGCCTTCTTTGTAGATGTTGACCCCCATGGCGTGCGTGGTCAGCTGGACAGGGTCCGTGCACACCTCGGGGTCCTTCAGGGCCTCAGGGGCCACGCTGCCCTTGGTGCCTTTGGTGCCCTTCATGACTGCAGGGTGGAGCTCAGGTCAGGTCAGCCCGCCCCGCCCCGCCCCTGCGCCCCCTCGGTGAAGCCTCCCCTCCGGGCTCCAGCACCCCGACACCCCCATGTATAACGGGGCCCCTTGTATTACGGCACAAACCCTCCCTGCCCCAAGACTGCGGCCTAAAGGTCCGGCAGTCACCACTCAGCCCCGAGTTCTGGGATTAAAGGCGTGAGCCACCCTCCGCCCGGCAAAAAAATAAAACATTAAAAAATATATATTTTCTTGAGATGTGGTCTTCCTGGCAGGCCCGGAACTCACAGAAATCCCCCTGCCTCTCCGTCGCGAGCGCTGGGATTAAAGATATGCGCTATCTGGGGCTGGAGAGATGGCTCAGTGGTTAAGAGCACCGACTGCTCTTCCAGAGGACCTGAGTTCAATTCCCAGCAACCACATGGTGACTCACAACCATCTGTGATGAGGTCTGGTGCCCTCTTCTGTATACACAATAAATAAACAAATCTTTTAAAAAAAAAAAAAAAAAAGATATGCGCTGTCATGTTTGGCCTCAAAACGTAATTTTTAGGAATTATGATCACGTGGGTGGGGGGCACTAGCGCGCGTGTGGCGTCGGTCACCTCCTTCCACGCTTACGTGGGTTCTGGGGATCGAACTCAGGTCCCCGGACTTGGCTGCACGCGCTTTACACAGCGGCAACTTCCCACCCACGTCACTCTGTTTATTTTTAATCACAACAGTAGCAACAAGCGACCCGTGCGGGTGGGCGGTGTCTGCCCCGCCCCGCCCCGCGCATGCGCATGCGCCCCGAGCCCGCAGAGGCCGAGCCCCGGCGCCCGCACGCCCCGCCCCCGCGCCCGAGTCCCGCCTCCCAAGCGGCGCGCCTGCGCACTGCCGCCCCCTCGGCTTCCCGCCCCGCCCACGTCGGTGCCTCCGGAGCCGCCTCACCTGGCTTCTTGGCGTAGTCCCGAACGAAGAGCGCTCCAGGTCCTCCGGGGACCGGGAGAGCCTGGCGCCGGCGGCCGGCCCACATCCTGGAAGCCCCGAGCAGACGGGCGGCCGCCATCATGCTCGCCGACCCGCACGTGCGTGCTTCCGGGATACGTCATCGCTCGGGCGCCGCTCCGGGGCGTTGGAGGCGCCCGCGGCCTGCTGGGAAATGTAGTCTTCCTGGAGTCGGCTGTGGCGTGGTTTGAATGGTTATCGCTGGTTCAAAGAGCATCTCAAGACAGTCTTATCCCGAGATCCGGAACTTCTTAAAGTGGCACAGCAGGTTCGAGCTTGTGTCTCTCCTGCAAGTTCCGAAAACTTAAAAGTAAGGACGGTCAGCCGGGCGGTGGTGGCGCACGCCTTTAACCCAGCCCTCGGGAGGCAGAGGCAGGAGGATCTCTGTGAGTTCGAGGCCAGCCTGGGCTACAGAGCGAGATCCAGGACAGCCTGGGCTACAGAGCGAGATCCAGGTCAGCCAGGCGAAACAACAACAGTCAGTTGCGGTGGGAGATGGAGCGGGAGAGTCAGGATCAGGGTAGCTCTGGCCACACTCAGTTTGAAAGGTCAGCCTGGGCTACACGGACCTTGGCCGGGTGTGGCGAGTCTCCCTCCCTCAGTCCCAGCACTCGGGCGGCAGAGGTGCGTGGATCCCCGTGAGTTCGAGGCCAGCCTGGGCCGCAGCGCGAAGGGTGATAGGAGAGATGGGGTGGTGGCTGGGGCTCCGCCCCCAGCGCCTCAGACATCAAGGCTGGCCGCACTCGGGAGGCTGAGGCAGGAGGATCAGGAGTTCGAGGTCAGCCTGGGCTGCGTGAGACTCTGTTTCACGAAGAAGCAGACTTTCCAGAATTTCCAGACCCATTACTACCGCCCTGACCCCGGCCTCCTTCGGCTTGTCGGCCGCGATGCGAGTCCCGGTGTCGACCCAGATCTAGACTGCTCCATTATAGATCACTGCTGGGACCCGAACCGCACGTCTGGCGCCGTCAGCTCTGCCCACACCCGTCCTTTCTTCCAGATCTTCAGATCACGTTCCCTTTAACCATTTCCCTGCTTGCTTTCTTCCGTCTTCCACCTCAGCCATTTTCTGCTCTGAAGTGATGCGGAACCCCATCTCAGGATAGAAAAGCCAGTTTGCCCCCCCTCCCCCATGTGCCTGGAGTCTCGGGATTCGAACCCGTGGTCACCTGCCACCCAGGCTGCAACCCTAGAGCACCACCCTGTGGCCGAGCGGCTGCGAGGACTACATTTCCCAGCAGGCCGTGTGAGGGTGCGCATGCGCAGTAGCCCCGGGAGGTCAGCCTGATGATCCGGATACCAGGCTGGGATCCCGAAGAGTTGCTGAGTGTCCTGGAAGGACTGTCAGAGCGGATCGCTCCAGCCCGGCCGGAGACGCGGGTACTGCGGCCCGCGCGGGCCCGGGCGGCTCCCGTGGGGCGGACCGAGGCCGGCGCCTGAGTTCTGGAGAAGGAGCCTGAGTTCCAAGGGCGAGTGTCCGAGTTCCAGGGATCACTTTCTGAGCTCTGGGAGGGCAGCCTGAGTTCTGGGGGCCGGAGCCTGAGTTCTGGGGGCCGGAGCCTGAGTTCTTAGGGCCGGTGTCTGAGTTCTGAGAGTCAGTACCTGAGTTCTGAGGGTCAGTGTCTGAGTTCTGGGGGCCGGAGCCTGAGTTCTGAGGGCTAGTGTCTGAGTTCTGAGGGTCAGTGCCTGAGTTCTGAGGGTCGGTGTCTGAGTTCTGGGGGTCGGTGCCTGAGTTCTGAGGGCCAGTGTCTGAGTTCTGGGGGCCGGAGCCTGAGTTCTGAGGGTCAGTGACTGAGTTCTGGGGCTCGGTGTCTGAGTTCTGAGGGTCAGTGACTGAGTTCCGAGGGTCGGTGTCTGAGTTCTGGGGGTCGGTGTCTGAGTTCTGAGGGTCGGTGCCTAAGTTCTGAGGGTCAGTGCCTAAGTTCTGAGCCCAGAGCCTGAGTTCTTAGGGTCGGTGCCTGAGTTCTGAGCCTGTAGCCTGAGTTCCGAGGGTCGGTGCCTGAGTTCTGGGGGTCAGTGTCTGAGTTCTGAGGGTCGGTGTCTGAGTTCTGGGGGTCGGTGTGTGAATTCTGAGGGTCGGTGTCTGAATTCTGGGGGCCGGAGCCTGAGTTCTGAGGGTCAGTGACTGAGTTCTGAGGCCGAAGGCTGGGTTCTGGGCTGGAGCCCGAGTTGTTGGTGTCCTGGGTGAAATGGGGACCTCTCCTTCTGTGCAGGCCCCATGGGGATTGAACCCGTCACCTGTAGGACCGTGGCTTGCTTGAGAGATCTGCACCCAGAGCCCTTGTCTTCCAGCCCGGTGACGATGCCGGCCTGAGCCTGGGTCCCAGGCATGGAGTTCCTGCCAGCCTCCCAGCATCCCCCTGGGCTCCCAGCCATGGACCTGGAGGAACCCAAAGGCCCCGAGGTGCCCTCTGAGGACCACCCCCCTAGCTCCCAGGGGGCCTCTGGGCGGGGAGGACCTGTCCACCGCAGCGCGATGGAGCTGGAGGCCTCGGGCGAGCAGGAGCTGGTCCGGCAGCTGGAAGCGCTTCCTGGTGACCTGGGTGGTCCGTCCCCAGAAGGAGACCCCTGTCCCCTCCACATCGCCACTGGCCAAGGCCTGGCCGCCCGGGAGAGCGCCGACCCCGGAGGGCTGTTGTCCGCCGAGGCCGGCGGGGGTGACCTTCTGGGTCTGCTGAGGTGTGAGGCGTCTTCGCTGGCCCAGCCCGGGTCCCCAGACCCTCCACAGACCACGCCTCGCTTGCTGCAGCCGCCCGAGGACCCAGATGGGGACCCGGGGTCCCCGGGGTGGATGGAGGGGGTGTCGGCAGAGCCAGGCGACAGCCGGAGTTCCAGCAGCTCCCCGGAGCCCTGGCTGGAGACGGCACCGTTGGTGACCCAGCGAGATCCACCTGTGGGTGCCCAGGTAACCTGCACGACCCCTGACCCCTGACCCCTGGGGACTCTGCCTGGGGACTCAGCCCTGTTCCTCTTCTACCTCCCAGAGCCCCGAGACCCTGGCCGCATGCCCTGCTGTCTCCGAGGGTGAGTGTCCATTCTCATACACGACCAGAATGTTCTAGAACTGGACCCCCAAATCTGACACGTTTGCCAGTGACAGTGAAGGCCTGGAGAGGGTGGTTGAAGTGAGAGCAGGTCCTGGACGGCCAGAGAGGTGGTATAAGCTGGAGAGCGGCCTATTCACCTGGGGTTAGAGCACAGGCCGGTGGAGGCGTGTCCAGGGTAAAGGCCAACTCCAGACTGCTGTGACCTAAGATGGATGGCATTTACGGTTTTTTTTTTTGTTTTGTTTTTTGCTTTTGTTTTTCGAGACAGGGTTTCTCTGGGTAGTTTTGGTGCCTTTCCTGGAACTCACTCTGTAGCCCAGGCTGGCATCGAACTCACAGAGATCTGCCTGCCTCTGCCTCCTGAGTGCTGAGATTAAAGGTGTGCACCACCACCTGGCAAGGCATTTACAGTTTTTTTTTTTTTTTT